ATATGTCGCGTTTTAAATTATGTACCTTACTAATTGATAAGATTACTTACTCTGCATTTCCCGCATAGCTAAGCTGCGGTGGACGGATACCGAAGTGAACTATCTCGGGATAAGCAAGCGGTAACTTATTGCACGATTGCTCCTCTTGATTTCTATCTAGCTGATCAACGCGAACGCTGCACGGTTTCTTCCCTGGGTAAGTCACGACCATTCCCTTCACCTCGTCGGCAAAATCTTGCCATTTGTACTGTGGCATCGCCACCAATTTGAACAGATCATCCGGACTTATTAAGAGAATGCTGCTCTTTATCAAATAATTCAGAACTTCATTCATCGATAGGATCTCTTGACCGTTGTCAGTCAAGTCACGTACAAATCTTGGCATAAAATGAAACTGTCCGCAGCCGGATTTGTCCTGTGCTGCGTGCAGATCAAAATCTACGAGCTCCAAAATCTCTTTAAACAAATACGTCTCTGTGAAAATTTAAAGTATTTCAGTTAGGATAGATAAAGTGAGAGAAACATTGTTTTTATAAAATAGAGCAAACTGCTTACGAAAGTAGTCCAGCTCCTGTATTGTGAAATTCTCTGGCAACTTCTCTTCTATGTACAAAATTGTGTATTCGATATTGAATCTTATAACTTTGCACGTGGGTAACTTGACTAATGGGAAGTGAGAAAGCATGGAGAAGCCTTCAAATATAAATTCATGCTCGTCATGTTTGATAATCGTCGGTGTCTTGGTAAGAAAATTCGTCGGCGGACTGATCGTTATTCTGTAGTGATACAGTTTGTCCGCATTATTCGTATTCAAGTCACACTTGTTTAATGCACCTTCTCCAGCGTAGATGCCGTGTCTTATACCTGAGCGTCTCGATTTCGCGCTGCATCTACACAACGGGCCGTCATTCATCTGTAATTTAAAGTAATTACAATTAATATTTCGAAATGTCGAAGCTACATAAAAATTAATTTATAAAACATTTCGCGATATTACTTCTCCAGGATCGTTAAACCACATTTCAGGATGCAATCTCTGTGGATGCTGCTTTTTCGCCATTAACTCTTCCATTGTTCTGTCATCTTCATCCATAGAGTTCTCGCTGTCAGACGAGGAGCTACTGCAAGCTTCAGACTTATGACGACAAAGACGCGCTCTTGTTTTTCTCGGAGGTGGTTCATAAGGCGGCTAAGTAAGAGATAACGTAATACAGTTTTACGTAATTCCTTTATACAAGCCAATTTATGGAGAATAAATATGTACCTGCAATTCCCTCGCTGCAGCTGCTCTGTCTATTAACACTCTCCTAAATGTCGCACACACTTCTTGTAGCTTAGGAGTACTTTTCATTATTTTTGGATTGTTTTCATCCCTGACGTAGTAGAGATCCGCTGGCGACGTGCGTGTCCAAATCTTTTTCTCACCTTCCATACCTTTAGAGCCCATTGCCGATAATTCATCTAGTTTGCGCTTTATGTCCTTACTCGTTGCACAGTAATTACGTCTGATACAGACAATTTTTAAAATTATTACAATTTTTTATACAGCTCTTACATATAGAATGCAAATCATGTAATAAGAAACAATATGGTAATCAAATTGATTTCTTGTTTTCCAGAAATAACAAGTCCCATATGCAACAACTAATGCAAGTATACAGGGTGGCTTTTAATTTATCCACTCAAATATTTCGAAAAATATGGAAGATATAGAAAAATGTTTCAAATATACAAAAATTGCTTGTCTTGAAGGGAGACAAATAATGATAAAATTAATTGTTTTTCTTTTAGAATTCTATAATTCTTTAAATATAATAATTTAATAATATGATCTTTATAGTTATTCTAAAAGTATTGAAAAGTATTAAAGTAAGTGTTAAAAAGTCAATAGTTTAGGGAGATAATTTTTGCCTACTTTATTCTGGCACATTTTGACATGAAATATAAAATATCTCACAAACTATTCATTTGTTGATACTGTACTAATATTTTTGTGTATAGAATAACGAGATTAGTAGAACTGATTAGTGAAAATACAAGTTGCTTTAAAACAAAAAATCATGTAATTTGCATTGTGCAACTACATATCCTTTATATATATATATATATATATATATATATATATATATATATAAAACTTACCTATATTTCTCTAACAATATCTCTCTCTCAGTAGGACCCTTCGTTCGTTTATTGCTACTGATTGGTGTAGCGTCCCTGGTTGACTGCAGCTCCCGCGATTTCGATCTTTTCCTGCTTCTATTGCTAACGTACGATTCTTCCGAGCGAGACGTATAACTTCCGTATTTTTTAGATGAAGATCTTTCAAAGTGCCTGTTGTCGTACGTAGGGTCTCTCGAGTTGGATATTTCTCTGCTGTGTTGACGATATCTGTCCCTGTGATCCTCGTATTGCGACCTGTACGTTTTCTCTTGCTTACCATGTGGACTTTTGGATCTCTGTCTGTTAACTGCACTCTTGGATATGTCTCTATTATCATACCTCCACTTATGCTCTTCCGTCTTTTGCGACGCTCCGTACATTTGCGTCGGTTGCGAGCTCTTTTTGTCATACGTCGTGTCATACCACGAAGCAGGTGAAGCTTGTGTTGTCCAGCTCGTGCAGGAGTTGTTGGAGTACCATTCATTGCTGGAATTGTCGTACGCATTTTCGGATTTTATATTACTCCAGTTTGCATAATTTTCACCCGTGTACTGTTTGTGCGAGTAGTCCATTTTGCCGTAATACTGGTCCATTTGAGTCTGGCCGCACTGCGGATCCATTTGATTCTGGCCGCATTGCGGATTCTGGTAGGAGACACTCGGAAAATTGGCTTCGTTGTGGTAGGCAGGAGGTGCAAAGTGGTACATCGAATTTGTCGAGTTGGGAGGAACGTTGGGAGGTGCATTTGATACATTGTGCGGTGGTGCATTGTAGGAATACGAGGCGTTGTAATTGGGGGGTTGAGCGGAGTAGTCCGGAAAATTTGACATCTGAGGAATCGGGTAGTACTTTGCGTCCTGCTGCGCCGCTTCGGCGCCCCAGTACGTCTGTTCTGTATTCATCAACGACGGATCTGTCATTCTGATGCGAAATTATTTCCCTTGAAAGTGATTTTTTTAAAGAGAAATGCGAAGCTCGATACGCGACAGCATGCAATTCAGAATAGTAAAAATTTATGAGTACAAAGTTTTCCCTTCCTCATCAAGATCCATTTTCTTTTTTTTTTTTTTCAAGTTACAAATTAAAAGTGTCTTCAGCGTTAAAACTTTGGCACGTTACAGCTGCTCCATACACTTATGTATCTCGTTATTAATCGTTCTCCTCACATACATTTTCCTCTTCAGGTCACTTTGGTATAAAGTGCTTTACTCTGCCAATTCTTTTTGGCGTAAAATAATGCATTATTTAATTTTAACACTTTCTACTCTCCTCATAATTACATCGCGCTTGTTGATCACACACGTCATTCAACCGCAACAGATATCGACTTATGTCATATCGTGCATTCGTGCGCGGTGTGCAGTCTGTAAAGGTTAGAAACTAGAAAGTAACTAGAAAGACCTTCAAAAAAGAGATAGAGACGCAATTAAAAGAAGCGGCCTTGATGGAGACGCGGCAGATGACGACGCGCCGTCCAATCATCCGCCGCAACGTATCGTGATTTCCGGAAATGCGAGACGCTGATTGGCTCGCCACGTGGTTCCCTAACCTCGCCGTGCGGGCGATGCGACGGCATAGGCGGCCAATGGCGGTGGCGCGAGCGGTCGGATCGTGTGTCCCCGCCAATCAGCGTTCGGAGCGTTCGCTGACCAGATGCGGGGCGGAGGGGGGGGCGCATCCGTTTCCATTGCGTGCGCGGCCTTACATTCTCTCCCCTCGCAGCCCTTCGCTGTGCGTGCGTACCCCCCATGGTGGAAACATTACATGGTGAGCTCAAAACTTCGAAACCACGCCCCCTTTTCACGTCGAGGTACCGTTCACTACCTAGGCCTGCCAACTGTGAAAAATTAAATGTTTGATGCTGCTAAGTTACTACGACTGATTTAAATGCGTCTTTGTCACACTTTGCTATATGTGCATATTGTGTTCTTTTCTCGGCAAGAATCCACAGTAGGACCACGTGATTTCGAGTTCTTAAACAGATTAGGAGTAACGCGGGTCAATATGGTACGGTGCATTGTAAAATCTTGCCCAAATAAAACAGAAAAAAGTTGTAAGACAGAAGTGAGCTTCTTCCTTTTACCAAAGAACGACGTAGACGTTCGTGAAGGCTTAAAGAGTTTTTCTATTAGCAAAAATCGTTAATTAATTTAACAAAGAGAATCATCAACGTTAAATTGATCTACGAACATCGTTGTAATAAGCCGACTTCATTTATAAATTGTATAATAACTACACTACATATCCGATAAAAAAGTTTATTTAATATTTTCTTTTTAAAATAATTGTCTCATTTATCAACATTTTTTCTTCGCTTTTTATGTTAAATCCACTATAATTATATACTATATATATTTTATTATCCGTAAAAAACTTTTTATATGAGAATATATAGATATATATAAACATATATAAGAATATGTAATTATACCATATATGTTCATACATATTCATATATGTTTCTTTCCTTTGTAAAATTATTGTTTGATACAAGAAAATAATAATAAGAAAACATAAAAATTAATTAAAAGGAGAATTTTGCATTATTTTTTTTACAAAAAGTCAAGTTTTAAAGAATAAGAAAAAGTTTTTTGTATATATAATTATATATGTATAAATTAATTATACATATATTATATTAATATATTATATTATATTATATTATATTATATTATATTATATTATATTATATTATATTAATTATACATATATTATTTATTATGTATAAATTAATTATTTTTTATGTTTCTTTCTTATTATCATTTTTCTTGTATTAAACAATAATTTTACAAAGAAAAGAAACATATATACCTATATATATATATATGGATTTGTATGAACATATTTCGTATATAATTATATATTTTTATATGTTTATATATATCTATATATGTTCTTGTGTAAACAATTTTTACCGGGTTATACGATAGATACAATCAATTATGTATAGTACATTCATGATCCGAACTATAGTATAAAATAAAAAGAGACTGATAGAATATAAACGTGCGTGCAATGAAGACAACCATCTCAGTCGTAACAACTTTGCAGAGTAAAATATTTTATTTTTTGAGGTTGGCCAACAATGTTTTGAACGGTCAGAAAACAAGCGAGAGGGCAAAGAATTAGAGAGAGACGCTTGCAAACTGAGCCCACCATGCTATCCCTTCCACCATGGTACCCCCGTTCCTTCAGTTGAAGCAAATGGCGTCGTACAGGTGGAGATCGTTGCGTCAAATTTCACAAATCATGAATGAATTCTAAGTGCCGTCGCGCATTTCTCATGAATTGAGGGTATCGCCAGCTCCGGTAAGCATCCACGCGACCGCGGTGCGTCACGTGCACGCGGGACCGATCGCGCGGCGCGAGAAACCGCGTATTTTTCCTCCCCGGACGTTTTCTCAGTATGTAAACAAACATTGTGCCACACGCACACCGAGTCGCCGTACGAGTCGCGTACCGCGACGCCCCGCGAAATCCCACGGCTGTCACGAAATTCTCCGCGTCCTTTTCTCGCGATGTGCGCGTGATCCACGCGTGAGATTTGCGACGGATCGTATCGCGCAGATCACAACGTGTGTTCCTTGGGGCCAGCATCTCTGATGCTCTGTCTCAATTCCTTGCTCTCATTGCCTCTTCAATGTGTTTCTTCTTTCGAATTCTCGCAAGTTTTTCTCGTATCTCTTATACAGTGCTGCTTAATTCAACGAAGATATATGTAAGCTAAATGTAAAGATGCATTTTATTTGGATAAAATATATCATTTTAGCATTGTAAACTGTTACGATATATCTATATATATATATAATTTGATTGAAAGTATGTACATTTTTCTATGTGGAGTTATTATGTCATTGTTATGACTGATAATTTTACATAATTTATGTGCGTAACTCTGACAAAATTATAAATTATATATATAAAATTATATTTAATAATTGTAATTATATAATTAATAATAATTTTATGTAATCTGTCGTAATTAGAAAATTATTTTTTCTGATATAAAAGTATAATAATCTTTGCATAATCTATCATAATTGGAGAGTATATGCTTAACAATCTTTACACAAGCTGTCGTAATTATAGAATATATATTTAACAATTTTTGCATAAGCTATCGTAATTAGAGAATATTTATGTATTTCAGATACTTGTCACATGACAATATATTTGGATCAACGTTTTCAGTATTCTGCAACAAGGTGCATATCAAATCATGAACGAAGTAAGCGGAGGAAAGCAGGATGTACCCAATACCTCGAATTGGGAGGCCTTATCGGGGCAGTCGGTGCCAGCCATGCACCATCACCATCAGGCGCTGCAGCAGGATACAAATTCAACAGTAGCACAAGTTATAGTTCCTACGCCTGTCAAGCTCCAAACACCCATATTGACGCCTGCGCAAACCGTAACCGATCACTGTCCGCAACTCGGTCATATACAACAACCGCCTCTTATAGCTCAGGTGTGCCAAGGGAAATCTCGCACGCTCCTGGTGATTTTAATTTGCCAGATCATGAGGCTGATTCGTTCTCTTTCTCTCTACAGGTTGTACCACCAGGAAGTTTTCCGGAGCTCGAGTTATCTCTGGAACTTCAACAGCAAGGCTGGAAGAAGTTTTGGAGTAAACGAGAAAGTCGGCCGTATTTCTGGAACAAATTGACTGGAGAATCTCTGTGGGTAGTACCTTCCCTGAAACCTCAGGTACTGCAGAATATTGCAAAAAATTTATATTTTATAATGAAGAAGTAAAATGTAATATTACATATGTGTTCTATCAAAGTTTGATCCGATTACGGACCCACTTGGCATTTGTGGTGTGCCACCTCCGCCTGGAAATGGAACCATTCCAGCTACACCAACTGCTACATTAAAACGAAGAGCATCGGAGGATGGAGCTGTACCACCGGCAAAGAAATTTGTATTGGCGTACGTATTTAGTTTTATCAGGTTTAAGGCACACTTACAGCAAAATGATTGAATAATTTGTTTATTTCGAATTTTGGCTGGGGTGATATTATGGGGGATAAATTAAATTCTTTATAAAATTTTAAGATGCTCATTAGCATTAATATTATTAAATTATTACTTGTCCAATTTAATTCGTGTAACATTATAACTTCAGCTTCAGTTTAAGACTGTTTTAAAATCGATAAATAATTTGCGCGCAATTTGCATAAACTGAAAAATGTACATAAATTCACGCAAAAATATTACTAACAATAAGCTCTACTTTGATCGAATAAGCTTATTTCTATTTATTGTTAATTTGTTTATTGTTACAGGGGTCCATGGGATTTGGAGATACCTACGAATGTTATAATATATGAGCGAGCGCCGTCAAATTTGATGCACGTTCATCCTGAGGCGGAAGCCCTGCGCTGCGCTCTACTGGCGAAGCTACGGCAGTGTTATCAAGAGTTATGTCACACTCGCGAATCAATAGACGCGCCGAAAGATTCCTTCAACAGGTGGCTGATGGAACGAAAGGTCATCGACTGCGGCTCAGATCCGTTGCTGCCGAGTCAATGCTTCCCCGAGATTTCGATGTCCATGTACCGCGAGATCATGAATGATATTCCCATTAAGTTGGTAAGGCCAAAATTCACGGGAGATGCGAGGAAACAATTGTCGCGCTACGCCGAAGCGGCGAAGAAGATGGTGGAGTCGCGAGCGGCGTCGCCCGAAAGCCGGAAGGTGGTCAAGTGGAACGCCGAGGACACTTTCCAGTGGCTGAGAAGAACGGTGGGCGCCACGTTCGACGACTTTCAGGACAGACTCGCCCATCTGAAGCGGCAATGTCAACCGCACCTCACGGCGACCGTTAAAGCCAGCGTCGAGGGCATATGCCTGAAAATTTACCATCTCTCGACAGAGTATGCGAAGAAGGTGAAAGATAAAAACAATCAGATCCTCAAGGATAACGGACTCGGGGACGTTATACCGTTGGGAGGTCCCGCCAGCACGCAGAGAAAAGTTTGGTGTTATCCAGTGCAATTTTCCCTTCCCACACCGAGACTTCCACAGGTGGACTACCTCCCCGAGCGCGAGCAGATACTGCTGCGCTTCCACGGCGACACCATGTATATTAATAACACGCACTTCGCTAAATTGGAACATTTGTATAGGTATAACGGTTTCGACGACAAAAAGTTCGAAATGTTTCTGTCGCGCGTATGGTGCATGCTGAAACGCTACCAGACGTACTTCGGAATCAACGAGGGCCAGGCAACTCAGATGGCACTTCCGGTGACGGTTTTCGAATGCCTTCAGAGATCGTTCGGCGTCACGTTCGAATGTTTTGCCTCGCCTCTAAACTGTTACTTTCGGCAGTATTGTTCTGCGTTCGCCGATACGGACTCGTACTTCGGTTCGAGGGGACCATTCTTGGACTTCAGGCCGGTCAGCGGATCGTTCCAAGCAAATCCACCTTACTGCGAAGAACTTATGGAAGCTATGGTCAATCACTTCGAGCGTCTTCTGGCGGATTCGACGGAACCTTTGTCGTTCGTGGTGTTTTTACCAGAGTGGCGTGATCCAGCTCCTAACGCGCTCATAAAACTCGAGGGCAGTCACTTTAAGCGCAAACAAGTAGTAGTACCCGCCATGGAACACGAATACCGACATGGATTCCAACATATTCTTCCAAAGTACGTTTATAAATCAAATTTATACAGCCATAAGTATAAAGCATTGTTCGCAAATTAACATAAACGTTCTATATCTAACGATGAATTAGAAAACAGTTTTATTGATAAATAATATCCATTTTTGAACACAATTTTAATATTTTGTTAATCCTTGGCTTTTATTTTATTATCATCTTTTCCAGTAAAACGTAATAAATTAAGGATGTAATTGAGGATTTATACTTATAATCAAGGCTGTACTTATTAGATTTGACATGTGTATGATACGTGATACCTGAAAGAAAAGTTGAATAATATTTCTTTTTTATTTTCTTCTCAATTTCAGAGGTGAAGTAAATATCCGAGCAGTGCACGGCACATTAGTTGTATGGTTACAAAATCCAGCCGGTGCTGCGCGTTGGGGACCTACGGAAGAGCGAGTCGAAGCGTTATTGGAAGCGTGGCGACCCGGTAGAGAACGGGAAAGAGACAGGCAAGAGCTTCTTTCCCCACCGCGACAAACGCATCAGCCGATACCGTCAACGCCAGTGCCTGTGCCTGTGCCGACAACACCAGCTACGCCGACGGTGCCACCTGTACAGCCGCTACCAAGTCATCCTATATAATTAAGTGATATAATATAGTTGAACGAACGTGAGACGGCGAGAACGTACATATAGATATAAAATAGGAAAATAATTTTTCCTATGCTTGTGGAGATGAATATATTGTCTCTTGTAATATAACTTCTTTGTTAAGGAAATTTATTTTATATTTTATCAGATATAAATTTCTGATATAGAGAATAAAAATGTAAAAAATGAAAGAAATGTTAGGTAATTATATACAGAGAAATTAAACGTAAAAAAAATATAAACGTTACTTCATAATCAACAATATTTTCATGCTAAAATCCCCTGATGGCATGGATAGTTAGATTTTGAAACAATCTTGTGAAAATTGATTATTGATAACTGATGATCGATTAATGAACATTATTTGATTCTATGTATAGCAGCGGAGTAAAATCCTGTTGCTTACTTCTGTTCAGCCTTGATAAAATTAATGTTAAGGACTATATTGAGAAACATTTAACGTATAAAAAAAGAGAGAGTTTACTTATCGAAAGAATACAAGCGCACATTGCGGAAAGTCTAAACTTTGCAATAGTGGTTAATTGTTGTTGATCAATGCGTTGGACTTTGTGACATGTGATGCTTTAAATATTAGACTTGCTATGCAAGATAAAAAAAATTTGAGATATTGTAAATTTCAGAAGATTAGAGATTTACAGGAATTAACAACAAATGTACAGGCGTATGCTGTATGTATGTACGTGTGCGGATGTAGGTGGTATAGGATGTATGTGTCGTCTACTCTGCTTATTTGGTGTCTGAAGAGAGAAAATTTTTATCAAGAAACTGCGATAAAACTGTTCATCATATTTTTAACCATGACAATCTGTTTCTTTAGTAACGAGGTGTTAGAAACTAAGAGCTAGCTATATGCATTTCGTTTCAAATAGCTCTTTGCCGGTGCAATATTTTATATCAGTTTATATCAGTTTAAGTAACCGCGTGAAATCTATAAAAAAAGGAACGAACAGAATTTTGAGATTGATTCTATATAAAACTTCTCTGCATATGAGTGAGAGAGAGAGAGGACATTTTTATTATAAATATGTACAGTCGTGTCATAGAGAAGAGATATATAATGTAACTATGATTTTCTGATTTCGTTTTTTCTCAGAGAGGTCCTACAGATTCTACAAAATTAATCGCGAATCAATTGGAGAAATGATGTATTTCTATAATTCTTTTTTACATGCATATCTGTACACATAGGTGTAGCATATATCGGAATGATACACGGGACACTTAGAAATGGAAGTGGATGTGGACTAGATGCGCATTCATAAGTAATATATTATTGGAAATTATATACTTACAAACACGTGTAATTTCCAATAATGTATACTTGTGCGTTATTCAATTATTTAAAAAATTCTGTGGTCTAGGCAGTTTGTCGGGCACTTCTCTCATTGAAAAAAGTGATATTTGTATCTTATAAATTTTGTATATTTTTATTAAAATACCACATGTACGCTAGTGTATATACATACACATGCATATAGGCGCACGCATGTGCTCACACGCGTGTATAGCCATCTTTAGAAATTAGGATATTTATGCTTACATAATTGAGAAGTAAATAAGACAATACGTTAAAAGGATAGATATAAGTTACGTTCTGCGAGATACTATTGTTTTACGAGCAGCAATGTATCCACGATTAGGTTTGCACTTTAGCTTAATAGAATAACAGATAACAAATTTTTATTGTAAATCTTTACATTTAAATAGTAGTATACGTTTGACTAAAGAAAAAAAAGAATTACATTTTCTATGTTTAATTATTTTTTAAGAGTAAAATAAATTTCGCTCATGTGTCTGCGCTTTTAATATAGCCATATTCATTATAGAATCTAAGATCATTATTTTCTGCCATACTGTACGTTTCACATTTTTGCAATTTCTTTCTGAAAAAGAATTGAGAATTCCTTTTTTAATTATTTTAAAAATTTTTACTTGTGTCTGCTAGACGGCATCTAACATAACGTGCTTATTGTACAAAAGCAATCTTAAAATAAGCGATTCTGCAAAATGTTATCTTTTAAGAGAAAATTTAAGTGAAGTTGAGGGCGGGGAGATTTATGAAACTTGATACACACGTAGGAATGATATGCTGGTAAACTGTGAAAGTACATGCTATATTTATAATAGAATTACAATTGGCTTCTTAACAATTTGTCTTGATTTTTTTTTTTTAACAGTCTATTAGATTTCGCGTTCACGAAGAGGAACTGCATTTTTAAGACTCGAGACACTCGATAATGTTTTTCAGTAAAACGCGAGCCTCATCGTTCTCGCATATCAAATTGTACACGGACAGATCTTGCGCGTCTGTGATAACATCCTCCAATACGATTTCAAGCGCTCGCAAATCAAACAGGCAGTGATTACGTCCGAAATGATACTTATTAAAACTTACAACTCGATCCTTTTTTAACATAGCATGTAAACGATTCTTAGCAATAAATGATATAAATTCGAGAAACTGTTTGTAGTCCATGCCATGAGAGGCCTTCAGCATCAATTGGCAATGTTCGTTCCAGTTTGTCATGTCCTTGCAATCGTCTACTTCTTTCATGACGGATCTTAATTCCTTTTTCAAAGTATTCCACACGACGGTGATATTACAGCCGTTGATCCAGTTGTGATTAACGGAAATCGTATCATCCTATGCACAAAAGACGGCGTGTAATAAATTTTCCATTAATTTTAATTTTCTCCTTTTGTATGAAATTCTGTAACTAATTTACCAAATTCCAAACTTGATGATGCCATCCAGACGGCACAAACATAATCTCCCCTGCTTCTTGAAATACTTCGAAATATTTCAACTTTACAAGTTCCTCCGAAACTATATTGTACACCAATTGCCCGTTAAGATCACGAAGTTGGTCTTCTTCGTGTGGTTGCAAGAGCAGCCATCTCTTTCTCCCAACTATATTTGCAGACCAACTGTACGACATAAAGACATCTGCGTGAAATGGAGTCCTGAATATTGCAATAACAGTTAAAAATCAGTCTAGATACAAAGAAGAAGCAACAGTTAATGCATAAGAAAATTAAGATACCGAAGTCAAGTAATGTAACGTTGAAAAAATATTTACCAGGTCCCTTTTGGCCCCATGTATACAAACATGTAATCATCATTCAGCTCGGGATGAGCAATGTAATATTCGTTTAACCAGTCGGACGCAAAATACTGAGACACCTCGTAAATCGGAACGTCGGGAAAGTTCTTCACGCAGTGCCAATCTTTCAGGTACAACGACGGCATCGATTTGTCGTACTGGTTCCGCTTATAATCGATCCAATAGTCCAAGTAATTCTCCATGGGCATGTCATCCGTGACTTGCGAGTTGTAAAACTTTTTGTCACAATCGGCAACCGGGACAGTGGAGTGTCCTGGACAAATAGATATTACATTAACAATCCGTACCTCTGTGTTACATTAACAATCCCTTCCTCCTTTTCTCTCATCGAATTTCCCACTTACCAAACAGCGTGCGGAGCACCTCGAAATTGGGCGCATCGTTCAGCACCCATTCACGGCTGCACGGCCAGTTCTCGATTGCTTGCGAACTGATGACGCACGGTTTGTTACACAGTAGATATTTGGTGAAAAACTCGTTGTACGTCACCGTCGAATCGATTCGCTCGACCTGCTCGACTGTGCCGCACATGTCCACGTCGGGATACGAGCTACTGTCAATCTCAACGAGCGTCGACATGCTCTCGACTCGGCCTTTATCTCGTTTATTTCGACTAACGTAAAATCATCGCGCTCGCCAAGGTGACATTCGCAACATTCGGCAACAACACGAGTCTAACAAAGTTCGTTTCTGTAAGGATTCGCTGCCGAGGACGTGCGAGGACGCGTCGACGCGACCCAACGCATGATACTCTTCTCTCTTTTCTTTTCCTTGCCTTACGATGCGAGTTCCGCATTGAATTGACGCGAGTCAGCTGGGATTAATTTTAAACTACGAAAAATTTATCTCGTTTATAACCTAAGGACAACAAACATTACAGCGAATACACAAGTTTCAACTTTTTCCTTCTTTCTCCACAGCCCAGTGGATTTCCGGCTCTGGAAGTCACAGTGCCATATGTTATTATTACGATAAAGTACCGATAATAGACTTCTCAAGGGCGTATTATCTAATACACAACAATATAAATACCGACAAATGCCCGGCAGGGGCGGCAAGCAGGCGCGGCAAGGTCTCGATGCTCGATCAGCTGACAGCTCGATCCGAGACACTCCGGTGGCGTCTAACTTCAGGCCGACGAGCGCTCGCCGCCTGTGTGTAGAAAGTGCCACCGAAAAGATAAATCATTTATATTTTACTCGACCGAGCAATTGCGGTGCTGTTATTTCATAATAATTTTATTATCAGTAGTTTTATTATTTTACGATTAATATAACAATTAATGCGCCCAAAAACGTCAGTATATAATGTTCATTTATTCCGACCGAACGATATATCGCGGTACTGTTATTTCATAATAATTTTATTACTAGTAGTTTTATTATTTTGCGATTAGTGTAACAATTAATGCGCCCAAAAATGTCAGTATATGATAATTCATTTATTCCGTGTTATAGTATACACATCACCATCGGTGACATCACAGTCACGCTATTTTACTTTCTAAAGTAAACTGTACTTTTTTATTCGCGTGCTTTTATATTTCCGCATTCGGTAAACGAGACGCATAACGTACGGTTTTATAACGAGCCTCGGAGTGGAAAAGACGCGATTCGGAAGGAAGGAGTGGTAGAGTGCAAGAAAATGTAATCAAGTGTAATAGACCCGTGTTGCGGTTCTCTTTCGTTTCCTGTACCCCCACCGGTTGCCCAGCGATCACCTAACCATTCCTACCAACTTCACGTCACTTTCACTTTAGGGGCGAACCACGAGCGATTGACGCCGCCGGGACGTCAGTCCATGTCAGTCGGTACGCGTTCTTCAAGTATTATTCGCCAGTATTAGACGCGCGGAGTCGAGGTACAACGAGGGCGTGCGATCGAGGATACTTGGCTTATAAGGCGCGTTACAAATGTAAACGGAGCAAGAAACGCGTTTACCTCCGAGAGCGTCCGCGGTGTCTTCTGCCTGCAGCTTCTGCCTCTCGACGTGACGTAAAGCTTGACGTAAACGTCAAGCCCGCAACGCTCGGTCGATTTGTATTAACAGGCTACGAGTGCTAATTACATAAACCTAAACACCTGTCAAACATTCGACGAGATAAGTCACGCTCGATAACGCACTATATCGATCCAAGTCAAGTAACAATGGTATATTGGCTACCGAAGAAACGTTTCGTGAGAAGGTACTCGCCTCATTAAAGCTGCATGTGCAGGCCTCGCGTTTAATTCCCCTCATTCTCGCTCTCCCAAAATCGATTGGGACTTCTCTCCCAATCGATAAATAGTGTAGCGTAACTTTTACGGCCGTTTCGCTAGGAAGTAGGAACCTATACAGTCACCGTATTAATCATAGGTATCGTCCGTATAGGAGCTCTACATTAACGCATTAAAAATACATGGGAAGTGTATCGTATGCGAAAGAGAAAGACGTACTTTATGCGCAGAAACAATTTTTTTTAAGTGAAGAGAGTTAGAAGCTTTTCGATTGTATGATTTGCAAGGTGAACCTGTCAGTTTTATCCATATGATTTTTAGATATATACAATTGCTTTGACTCGTTGTATAATTTGTAAAGTGAACCCGTCAGTTTTTTATCCGTATGATTTTTCCAGATATATAAGTGAAAAGTGATAATAAAGATATATAATTCTAAAAGATTGATATGCTTTTTTTTTAAGTGTTACATTCTATTATTTCTATGTAACTTCTATGTATTTCTATATAATTGTTAAAAGATAGATAAATGAAGTAAGAATTCTCAGTGCTTAAAAGGAAAAGAAAAATACAGATAATATTGGGAGTCAGCGTGGTAATAATTAGTACACTAAAAGATTTGCACACTAAATTACAACCCTGACTTCCAACACCCTGTTATTTTTTAATTGAAGTATGACACATTTAATACATGTATAATGATTGTACTTATCAGACAAAAATATAGCGAATAATGTGAATTATATAAACTTCTATTCATACTCAGGAATATTTAAAGAAAAAATTAAGATTGTACAAAGATTGAAGATATGAATATATATGATACAATATATATTTATATTTGTGAATATAATTCGCGTAGTATTCCTTGTAATTATTTTTTCATCTTGTATCCATAAAAACAATTCTTAACATAATAACAATGAAACAATCTCTTATAACAAGTTTGTGGAATTAAGTTTGGTCGAGGAGGGGACTTGCGACGAGAGAATACTGTAAAGAACACAGTAACCACACTAACAATCATGATGTCGATGTATCTACTATTAGCGACAATAGTACCAATCGTCATCCTTGAGATTTGGTATATGGGAATGTAAGTTACTTTATCCATTAATCGTATCTCTGTGAATATTTTCGTATTCCTTTTCTTGTCGATGTAACTGGCGCATCGTAAGCTTGCAAGCTTTATTTAAACCAAGACGATATGTAAAGTCGATGTTTTTTTTGTTGGATAAAATTTATGTTCACCCGACTGTTTAAATGCTGTTGTGTCAGCTTATTATGACGCGGTGTCACTTTACATCCTGCAGTCAGTTATTCTGGTCAGTCACAGCGAATCAGTACAGGAATTAATCATCACCAAGTCAACTGCATGATTAAATGGAACTAAAGAGAAAAAAAAACTTTATCAAGACATTGTCTGTCATTTTTATAAACGACAATTTTATATTTCACTATAATTTTTCATTTTCCATATTAAGAAACGAATGTTAATCTAAATACAAGTATGTTTTGATTTAAAAGTAAGAAGAGGACTTTAGACTTTAGACAACTTCAGTTATATATATCTCTCTCTTTTAGACTAGATTTATCACCTGTTGCGAATGAGTTGCAAATAGGAGTGGGAGTGTAGTTATAATAATTCATCAAAGAGGGAGTGTTTTGAATAAAAAGTAATTACACAGCATTTTTGTTTTGCTAGCCTTGGGTTAACAAATATATGAAGAAACTCCTTTATTTTAATACGATTATTTGTAAGTATTTAACAATACACATTTGGTGAAGGGAGCGTGAAGAATGCGCATTTTAATACAATCTAGTTATACGGATTTATACAATTAATTTTACTAAATATACAAATTAAACAAGTCATAGTTGATATTATGCATAAATAAAACAGAATGAAGTGAGGATGTAAAAACCGACAGAATAAAATATAAACTTTAATAATAGAATATTGTAATAGAAATAAATACTCTGAAAGATACGTTTGTACTTAATTAAAGGAGCACAACTTGCTTTCTTTTCATTTGTAAATGTGACATCATGTGTGTAACGTCATCGAATAATTACATAAGTAATAGAAAGTTCTGATAATATATAGTTGTGTGTGTCGTAAACATCAAGAGATAAGATTAATGTCTTGTGTGTCATAAGTGTATCTTATTATAATCGAATTATAAACGCGTGAAAGAATGTAATATTCTGTGACTGCTATGAACATAATAAGGTATAATATCAATATATAATGTATATGTAATTTATTTTGCATATAAAAAATTTCTTGTTATTTAAAAATAAATTTCATTTAATACTTTTTCGTATTTGAATAGGTTTCGTGTCTTAATATATGTATTTATTGTTAGTTGTAGGAGTTTTTATTCTACATGTACGTGTACTTTTCCTTTGACAGCTGTTGCATTCAGCTATTATATTTTTATTAATTTCTTATTGTTGCTTTTCTTTGTTTTTATTATTGTTTTTTTTAGCTTCTAAATGCCATTGTTCTGTGTTTTTTTGTGGCAAATGCAAACCGCTTAAGTGCAAAATTAACAATGTAGAATTCAATGATTACATACAAAAGGTTCTCGAAAATTCTTTTAGAGCTCTTCAATCAATCTGAAGTCAATATTTTCTCGATGAAGTAATCATTTACTATTATTTTTGTGTATTTACTGTAATTTTGATTATTATATATTTTATTTGTATAATATAAAGTTTTTTTACAAATTAAAATTCTGTTAACATTTTTAATTATTTATAAAATATACTTATAAAACATATATTTTATTAAAAATTAATTAACAGAAACAAATACATCTCGATTTTTTGTTGACAGAAAGTTAATTTTATATCTTAGTTGGCAAAGAATGTGCAACTTTAAGGACTTCAGATGATTTGAGGACAGTTTCATTTCAAAATTTTCTTGCCATATATTTTATTAGTTTTAATGTCGTGATATTAAATATGTATATTATTTAATATCACGATTAATTGCACCAATAATAGACAAAAAGCTTCGCTAAATTATGAATTATATACACAGCTGTGTATACATACACATGTACATATATAAATACTATATTACAGATGCTTAACTTGGACTATGAAGACCTCTATGCTGATATACCTTATAATATTTGGGCTTCTACCTATAATTTTTCATTATTCTTATACTCTTCAAAAGAAGATACTTTTTTTAAATTTTGGTGAGTAATTAATTTAATAAAACGTAGCGTAAACAAGCGTTATAAAAAAGTTAGTAGTCTTAACAATTTGTATGTTTTTATAAATTAATTTTCGAATGAGTATGTAAGAAATATTGAAGTTAACTCTTGCTTTGACGCGTGAATATGTCGAGATATGATGAAATCATAGCTTGTACATACATTAATAATATATAATTTTAATTTATTTCAGTACATTGGCCACTTAAAGTAGAGTTTTCCAATCCAAAGTCGATTGGTCTAGAAGGTGCCAGAAATTTTTATTTACATACTGATCAGCAAGTAAAGTTAGGTGCATGGTGAGTGATTACACATTACCTTATGTGAAATTTGTAATTTTATAAAGCACTTCTGTGTATTATTGTTACATTTTAATATATAATAGTGGATATTATATTAAACGGTAATCTTTTTGCAGGCAGATATTACCTCGGTCGTTATTAAATAATTCCATACCTGCGACAGATGAAGCTTATGAAGCGGCTTTAAGTAATGCCGAGCAACCTGTGTTTTTATACATGCATGGAAACAGTGGTAATAGAGCAAGTTCGCATAGACTTGAGCTTTATAAGCTTTTCCAAGACCTAGATTATCACGTTATATGTTTCGATTATAGAAGTGAGTATTAAAAACTTGTATTCATTTTTACATCAATTTGTACAAAAGTACCGTTTACGTTTTGCGTTTCAAAGGAAGTTTCAAATTCAAGTTCTCTCATCGATTTTTTTCAGGCTACGGCGATAGCGATGTAGTCGAGCTCTCTGAGGAAGGCGTAGTTATGGATAGTAAATATGTTCTCGAGTGGGTGATGAAGAAAGTTAATGGTTCAGCTCCAGTTTTTGTTTGGGGTCATTCTCTGGGAACCGGGTAAAAAATTGATTTTCAATAATCTCTTACAATACAAATTGAAATTACTATTGTAATTATATGTAACTTTTCATTTAATTTCATTTAGAGTCTCTACGCACGTATTAGATCTGCTAGCAGCTGAAAATATACAGCCAACTGGATTGTTTCTGGAAGCACCATTCAGTAGCATACAAGATGAATTAACAGAACATCCATTTGCACAGGTATATTTTAATTATTAGCTCTGTGTTTTTGTTATAGCTGAATTCTTCTATTTTTTTTCTATAAGTGTACACTTGCTGTACTTGAAATATATATATATATATATGTGTGTGTGTGTGTGTGTGTGTGTGTGTGTGTGTGTGTGTGTGTGTATAGGTACTTAAAAGTTGAATGTATTTAAAATTTGGCGAAAATGTGATAGAAAATTTTAGTGTAGTCTAGTGCAGCAACACACAAGGCATCTAATAGCTTCTCAAGTATAAATAGTATTGCATCCAATAAACATACATCTATTTTATGCAGATATTCAAACATTTACCATGGTTCCATTGGATAGCTGTTGAACCATTTTATAAGAATAATCTGCGATTTGAATCTGACAAGCATATTACTAAGATTGACTGTCCTATTATGATATTACATGCTGAAGATGATGGTGTAATTCCAGTTTTTTTGGCAGAAAAGGTATGACTATACAATATATCATTTACAAATTTTTACATGATTGTATACAATATACACTGTTATAAGGAATTAGTATGCTGAATTAAAGTTAATACAAGTGATTTCATGTTTCAGCTTTATCGAGTAGCGTTAGATAGTTTTGGAAATAACACAAGTCGTATTGAAATGATAAAAATAGATTCATCTTATGGACTTGGACATAAGTATATCTGTAGATACAAAGAACTACCTAGTATAATTAGGTAAGTTGTTTACATATTTCCAAAATAAATACAATAATTCGTTTTCCTCTGTTACGAAAATTTTTCATTAAGACATGAATATTGAGACAGAATTGTGTCATTCCTGTTATAACGATTAATATTATAATGTTTATTATACTTTCAGGACATTTGTCGCCAAAACACACGGAAATTGGACTGAATAACTATTATTTGGATTAGAAAATTAAAACTGTAAATTATTTCGTAAATTACGATATAATGTAAATTATGTCATAAGATTCGTAGAGTCAGAAATTATTTTATTTACATAAAGTAATGAAAAGTAATATGTTTATAAAATTAGATTTCTGATAAAAGATGAGGTATTTGAAAAAGACACATTTTTAATATTTGAACGATTTTTTTATTTTTTAAAAACTCTTGATAAAAATTCTGTTTTTTTAAATATTATATTTATTACAACTTTTATATTTAACATCCTAGTATTATAATTGTATGTACAATGTGAAAAATACTGTGATGTCAAACGCTTAAACTGTGCACTTCATTTTTGTGTTTGAACTTCATTTAAAATTGTCAAGTGTAAAATTTATTTAGATAATACATACATTTTTTGAATGTGGTATCGTATGATACAATTTGTCCTATACTCACATTTTTTTATTTGATGACAAAATACATTCGAAAAATATTGTAAGAATTGTCTGTTAAATAAATGGAAATGCATTGATAGTGAAATAATGAGTATTGTTCTAATATCACAATGCTATGGAGATTAATTCAATGTTAATGCTCAAGGAACGAAAAATAGTTATCTACGTAAAATATTTAGTTTTTTTTCGAGAAAACAGCTATTGTTTATTTAGTATAGTTATTACAATTTTTGTCTTATTTCGAATATATGGGAACGTGCGCTATTTATTTCTTAAAATCTACAATAAGTTACAGTAAAAGAAAGAGAAAAATATGATAAATTTTAAAATTTATTTAACACTAATATATGTAAACATCATACAGACTCTATCATATATATATATATATATATATATATATATATATTAAAATTAATTCTTAATTAAAACTTTAAAACATGTTTCATCAAAAATTTTAATTTGAAATTCTATTTATAATTTAATGTACTCTGTAGCATAAAAAGCATTTGAAGAATCAAGTAATGTAAAACGTATATTAAGATATCATATATCTCAAGATATACGGCATTTATAGAAGTTATAAATACAATTTTATTCTGAGATCCGATTAAATCTCTCTACCGTGGATTTCACAATTTTAAAACACATAAAGTTATAAATAGAATTCCACCCCGAATTATAAGACCGTCTGAAGTTAATTTAAGTACTTGAGAGGCGTTGCGTTCGTATGCATTAAAATTTGAATATTCCCGCCGTGTCGACTTGCGGAATGACGCACAGTTCGTTCGCTTTGGACTCACTTGGATTTTCTGTAGCTCTTTCTGCACCCGAAACGAGACAGAGTGCGGTCGAGTGTCGGGGAAAGAAGAGAGAGAGAACGTAGGGTCCGAGTACTCCGAGTGCCAAGAGGTGCAGATGCGACAAGCGACCTATATATCGCATATACATGCGGAGGATTGCGCGCGCAATCGCGCCGCAGCAGACGACGGCGGCCGCGAGGAGGGTGAAAGAGGGTAGCGGGCGACAGCATGGCAATCGGTGAACGCGGCTACTCGCCGTCGCGTGCTCGTTGATCGCATCGCCCGGTTCGCGCGTGTGGTGGTGCGCGGTATCTCGCCGGCCAAATTCATCGTCGTTCGTCGTGCCGGGCGACGAGCGTCGCGCCCGGTTATGCGCGAGCGCTCACCCCTCGGGATATCGACCGACCGTGCAATCGCTCTCGTCGCGAGGACGACCTCGGTGGAGCGTCGACGGCTCGCGACTCGCCGGCCGCGACCGCGGCACCTGCAGCAGTGAGTAACCGACCCTCGGTATTCCTCCCTCCCCTGCCCCCTCTCTCTGTCTCTTCATCCCCTTTCACCGCGGCCCCTTTCTCTCGCCGCCTCTCCGCCTCGCGTCCTCGTCAGTCTCGTCACTTCACTCCGCTCGGAGACGCCTCCACGTGGTCTCGCACCGGCGCGGCGCAACGAGCCTCGCTCGCGAGTGACATAACGGGAAGCGCCGTAATTCCACGTGGCCAGGCGCGCCTTATGGCACTTGCTGCACCTTCTCCATGAGATTTTTTCTTTTCGACACGGTTCTCGGATTCTCTGTTATGCCACTCCGTGAGTATACCGTGGGCGACCGTGATAAACGCGATTGTGGCGGGAGATAAGTCGCGACTCCTTGGCTGCGTTCAGGAATTCATGATATATCATGTTATCTTTGTTATTCACCGAATGTTAAACAAGGATAAAATGATATCTAGATGCACCTAGGCGAAGTTTCTGAACGCAGCCCTTCGGATTCTTTTGGAATTCTATATATCTGCCTTTGCTTCGTGATAAAAGGAGACTTCTGAGAATTCCGGGAATTTCGGTGAACTGATTCTACGGATACTGATTAACGTTCGACATCTGTCTTTTTCTAACTCTGTTTACATATAGTGTAAAAAAATCGCCCCGATATTTAAAAAGAAAAACAAATCTTGGAGAAAATATAAATACGAGGTGAATTATGATATTATTAGTGGCTATTTGACCGATAAAATGCGTTTGTATTTCTCACCGAATCTATATGTACTATTGGGATTAAAATATTTTATTTTTTACTTATTTACATATTCATATTTAAATGTCAAAAGGACAACATCGATAAATAAATCCGTAGAGTCGTTTTTGGATGCAGAATTTTCCACGTCAAATAGTCTGCAATATGTCAAAATTGGTAGCAAATTGGATCAGAAATTTATACCAGCTACTAAATTAGTCAATTGATGTGCCTGCATTAATTTTGCGTTTTTGCCGATAGAGCTTAAGGTAAACGTACCATTACTGAACATATATGTATCTATATCTGAACACGTACACAAAATTTATTAATCTCAAATTTTTTTTTATTATAATATAATATTACAATTTAATTGTAAAAATATTTAAAGATTTCAATTAAATTATAATATTATGAAAAAATGCATTTAAAAATAAATGTTTGTGTACTTGCTCAGATATAGATACATTCAGTAATGGTACGTTTACTTTACTGGTGTAATCTGATAGCATTTTGGCGGCAGAAAAAAGCAGAATCTATCAAAGACAGCTCGCTCTCTCTTTCTGTGGTCAATTCATGTCAAATCTGTATAGCAAATATGTCAAAGTCTGTATTTAATTTCTTGCCATCGATCTGTCATCGTATTACGTTGACAAACTTGCTGTATTATTTCTGTCAACAGCATTGTATATATGCCAAATTCTGTAGCAAATCTGTAATTTTTCTGTTGACAAAATTTGTAGCAGACACTTGATCATAGAATTCTAGAATTCTGTCGCCAGACTCGACTGGAAACGATCGTCATTGCTTGTATCAAAAATTGATAAATGTTACTCATATTTTGAAAAAATAATCAGTAATTGCCGATAAGAATTCCTGATATTAAAACTATTTGAATTCTAACGAGTCACGTTCAATTAGTCGCGTTCGATACGCAACTCGCAAGAGATTAAAGTTCGTCGGTTCATCAGAGAGTAATGCATCTTTGCACCTTGCACTTTGCACCTCTTGCCCGCGTATTATTTGAAATTTTAAAAATCCGTGGTAGATAAGCAACGCACTTCAAGTCTATACAGAACTCGCGTCTTGCGGATTTTGATTACGTATTGCGCTTAAGAGAGATAAAGGCGACTGCGATAAAATGATAACGTTTAACATCCCCAGCTTAATTTGCATTCTGTTTTTGTTTTCTTCGCACTTGTTAATTATACTCGAATCTCTGATCTCTGTGTCGGAACTCGGCTGATCTCGATTGCTGAAAGGAGGGGTGTCGCGCTCAAATCGTGTCGCGCGCGCAATTTTGAACGTCCGCGCCACGAAGGGCATGCAACGCCACCGTTGCATGCACCGTTGCGCGATGCATTTTAGTTTAGGGTCTCGGCCGCTAGGCGGTCATCACCTTGTACTCCACCAGCGATTATTCCGCTAAATAATTATAAAAATGATATTAAAAACGATCCTAAATTGCATTCCAATGCTCGACGTGTAACAATTGTAATTTAGAATTCATCGGTGGCTCCATTCGTTAGGATCAAAGTAGAATCGAGGGAATGTCTGTCTTTGTGATGTTTCTCGCTAGCACTCGAGTTCAATGCAATTCGTATATAAGGCCGGACCGTACTACTCACTAGCGGGTAGTCTGATGCTTCCCAGGTAAAACTACGAACGCATATATGCGGCCTCTCTCTTCGCTTTATACGATGTCTCTGTTCAGCATCATATGTCTCCAGTACTCACGTTCAGTTCGAAAACCACGTGCGTACAGGTTTAAAACCACAAAAAAAAAATCGGGTCGGTATTGCTTGTTTGTGTCACTAAAGAAATGAACTGAGGAAGTGAAAATCGACTATCTCTTTTGCAAAAATTTTCAAAATTCTGCTCTTTTAACGCCACGTTCGGTGGCGATAGTTTTACAATCGTATTTTTCGTCGAAAATTTTATGATTGTATTTTTTTTTATTAAAAATATACGCGATTAATCGAATCGCGCGTATTGTTTCAATAATTAAAAGGAGCAAAATTTTGATCTTGCATTAATTTCCGTTTAATGCGTTCGAACATAAATCAGTATCAATTCGATATGCGAACGCAAGCGACGTCTGCACGTATCCCGAAATTTAATCTCTAAGGCGCAGCGTCGCTTAGTTCTTGGAGGAAAAATGCGGCTGAAAGTGCCCTTTGGCTCTTTGGTTTTTCCTTTCGTGTGCCACATGGTCAGTATGGGCGTATCCTAAGCAAACGTGAACGTTGACCGGGGGGGACCGCAAGAAGAATGAGGAAACACTCTCGAGATTGAACTGCGTACGGCTAATTCGGGATCTGGCCGTGACCACGACACGAGACTTGGTCATACGAGCTAGTGTACGTGTTACGTGAAAGAAGGAGGGGAAAAAAAAGAGCGAGAGGGGCCGCGAGAGACGGAGGTACTCCGGGCAGGTCGCCGACGATTCCCTCGCATTCTGCCGAACGAGCACGCCCGCGACGCGCGCTTATAGGTGCCCGATACGGACACGTCCGCGTACAATCGTCCGTTTTCTCGCGATTCTAGGAAAACGACGTCGTCACTCGTTCGTAGAGTGGCAGCAACGATAACGATCCGAGAATCGTCTAGCTGAACAGTCGGATCTTCTACTCGCGCGGGTGTTGTCGTTATCACCGTCGCGACACTCGAGAAGGAGAAGAGGCTCCACGGAGGAGCGTGTGATTCATGGAGCGGGAGGAGACGAACGGAAATGCGGAAGGAGACGCTAACGGTGATACGACGGAGGATACGGCGACCGCGAGCGAACGGGGCACTCCGGAAGGATTCGATTCCCTCGAGGACTCGGGCGCGTCGCTGGAGATGGAACAGTCGGAGACCGGTCGCAGGACGAGTATCTTCAAGTACTACTCGTACAAGAACGCAGGTGAGGAATACCTGTTGCGTTTTAATGTATAACGGCAAACCGGATTTATCGTTGCCAGACGGATATTTAAGTATGCAATTTAATGCGGCGCCGTGTCGCGCTGACGACGCGAAATCGCATCGCTCTTTATCGCTCGAGAGTAAATCCACTATCGTGACTCAAGAGACTTTCATCCTAGATATAAACATAAAGTCCAAATCGGGACTTAAAAAAAACATTCTTGCGAGATACGTCTAAAAGGCGTTTAAAAAACCTTTTATGTCCTGATTTAGAACTTCATGTTGTCTGGGATTCCTTTAACGCGAACTGAACGGTTCTTCTTGCACGGTTCATATTATCTCTCTTTCTCCCGTTGGAGAAAAAAAAGAGAAAAGATGAACGATGCGAGAAGTTTCAGTTAGAAAAAAAAACAGGTCTCTCGAGATCGTCATTGTTGATCCCGAATCGCGCGCAGACCTAATTGAACGCGAGAAACGCGCGTCCGTCCACATCGATTTGTAAAATTCAAAGATCGGACATGTGTGTGTGTGTGTATGTGTTTGTGTATGATGCGCCGTTCTCTGGACTTTAGACGCCTTGCGCCGGTCCGATGAGAATCGAATGCAGATAAGGATAATGACGTAGTTCCTGTATTGACACGAGTTCACGGAACTTCGACTCGAGGCCGAGTTGAATTTCCTATATGTCGCGATTTCACGGTGAATGAAATGAAGAATCCGCACATTCTCGCTGCAAATACGCTGCAATAACTTCGATATTACACCGTTATTAAACGTGTGAAACATACTTTGTCATTCACGTGTTAAACACACTTCATTTTCACCTGCTTGTATATTATTACCTATTCATTAACTCGTCGATCATGACCAACATAATACGACGACCGATCCCGTCATTGATTACGATGATAATGTTCAACAATGTTCTTCTCTCATTGTGTAAACATGAACGAAGGAATCTTTGAACTTTGGTGTGTCTCGATGAAAACATCAGTCATTTAAAAAAAGACAAGGGATTTCCTAATACTTCTGTAATTCTACACACGGGATTATATTAATGTTTTAATGTATGAATTTGCGCATACATCGAACGTTCTCTGCTTCATATCTGTATATATTCGCGCGTCGTGATTGTTGATAAATTATTTTTATTTTTTATAATTATGTATATATTAATTTCTAATTTATAAAAATATATATTGTTAAAATATTTCTAATCAAATTAATTTGTAATTAAATAACATGTATACTGATTTTTTAATTTCTTGTAATAAAAACAGTAATTTATATCATGATAACAATAATAAATCAATGACAAATGCGCGAATATAAAGATACAAAGTGCTCGCTCGAAAAGTGATATGCCTGTAAAATCTGCAATATTTATAAATCTACATGTACTTTTATCGTCAATGGAAGTGTCAGCGAACGTGTCGTCGTAATTTTTTCTGTTAATTAAAATTAATTTAAAAATTTAAATATAAAATTAAAATTAATTTTAAAAATTTAAATATATTCTCTTTTGAAACAAGAAAGAGAGAAACAGATTTTACGATCAATATTTTTCGATTGCATCTACTCTTCAGAGGATGACTCAAAAGGATATCCGTACAATCGAGATTCTCTGATGTTCGCAATTGTCAATACAAAACCACGTATGCCAATCTTTTTTGCGGTTAGAATACGCTCGCCTTGCTAAAAATACGGCGCGATAATACACGTGCTGTCACACAAATCGCTCTATACGTAGGTACAATACGTACAAGAGCACGGCATAACTATGCCATATTTTTATGCTATATATTCTTTTAACCGAAGAATAGCACATTAAAGAAATATATCTTTTACCGAACAATTACGGAATGTTAGAATTATTAGATCGCGTTCGTTACTTTCAACCCTTACAAAAATTTAATATTACAAGGTAGTGACAAGGATAGGAATTAATTATTTATTTTAAGTATTAAAAGCACTGAACAATAGTTTTTAATACTCGAAATAAGTAATGAATCATTATTACTTACTTATTTAATTTTTTATCAATACTCCGATTCTTGTGTTGACAAGTCGGAGTAATAACTTCGCATGTACATAGAATTTTTTAATATAAACTCGAGATACAAACACGCGGTACAAACTGATGTCTGATCAACGCTTTCAAGAGAAGATCACGCTTTCAAAGAAAATTTAATGCATGCGTAGAAAATGTTTACGTTCGTAGGATTTAAGAAAAATATTAGTGCAGAGGTAATATTACGCAAAGCGTAACCAAGGAAATTGGCGACGGATGATCGCGTGCGGTATCACGCGATCTGTCTAATTCCCGCCAAGAGATGTATATCTTTTAGCTGGCGGGATATCATAAGAGGCGGCGTTAACTGCGATTACGCGTTGCCGAAGGCGTGTACGCGAGATTAAGCATATCAGCGGTTTACTTTCGATATCAAAATAAAAAAAATTTTTTTTTCCCTTGACGGCGACGTGTCTCCCACGATATTGCCGGGTCATCGCCGATGAGATCCGTTTTGCCGGCTTTCGAAACCGAGATTACAATGCGAACCGTATATTTTATTGCGTAATCTATCTTACGGCTGTTAACATTCCACTCGGTGATTATCAACTCCGGATAGTCTGCAGGATAGCAGCGCTGCTTGAAGCTAAAATTATATTGGAAAATTTGAAAAATTTGCCATCAATATTCACAGTTAAGTGATACAATTTTGAGATTATCAAATAACAATACGATGTCGCGTCGCAGACAATTGTGATCGGAAGTCGCGTAATTAATTGTCACGTAATAACTATCTTTTATTGATAATCATATAAAAGATAGTTATTACGTGACAATTAATTACGCGACTTCCGATCACAATTGTGATCGTGAAACGCAAGTTTATGATAATTTGCGTCTTCACAAAATTCAATCGATAAAAACGCGAAGGAATTTCGATTACGGTTGATCTCTTGATGATATCGCAAATTGAAAAGAAGAAATAAAGTGTTCAAAACTTTTGTATATAATTTACATGAAAATTCTCGGAATAGAATTATGATTGCAAAGAAGAATTACGTAAAATTTTTAATAATTTCTAATTTACATTTTAAGACATACGTGGTTAGCAAAAGTCACTAATTTTTCTTTTTATTTATTTATTTTTTTCTATTATCTTTGTTCTTATTCTTTAACAAAGTTTGAATAAGAGTATTGCGTAAGTATTGCGCATCAAAATATTAGATATCATAAGATGAAATTGCATCATTGTTTAAGAAAATATCGAAATGAACAAAGGATCTTGTAGCATTGAAATACTGTTGAATAACGAAAGTTATAAGTTGAAAAATTATAATCCTACTAAATTCTCATTGGAATACTAGTTTCTTGAAAAGTAAAGTAGTCAAACTAGTTTCAATCTCTTTTACTACAAATAATATCAGAGAACACGCTTGAAAGTGAAACTAGTTTTAATCTTTTCTACTACAAATAATACCAGAGAACACGTTTCGATATGTTGTAACGACAAGAATTTGGTTTCTCAATCAACTTATCTATAGACGTATGGAGATACTGAGGTTTCAATGTGTTGACATCAATAATCAATACAAGAACTCGCAGTGGAAAATGATAAGGGTAAAGAAAGTGTTGTTCTAATAAAGAAAGGAAGAAGCATTCTATCAGAATTTAATTGTTATATCTTCACTGTCAAGCGAGGAAAAAACGAAATGTGCACGTATTGATTACATAAATTCGCGTAAACAATTCTTCCGAGAAACAGAATTTTGTCCTCCGTATATTTATTTTGTTTAGGATTGATGATAAAGTTGAAAAAACACGCTGTTTGTTTTTTATTTTATTGCATAAATGGAACATTAAAGAAAAATAAAAAAAATTATGATATTTGGCTAAATTTGAATAAATGCTATTTACAAATATGTATATTTCGGATTTATATAACAGCTGCTGTAACAAAGATCGTTTATTCTTCATCACATGCTTAATACGCAAAACATCACTTGTTCTTAATCTCGACTAGAATGATAATCAATCTTCATTATATTTCTTGAAGTTTTTCTTATTAATGCAGCTTTTTTATCACGGGCGTAAAAGCACTTGTTTTTACTTTTTTAAGTGATTTTATATTAATATGTATAAGATAAATCGGCCAAGGACGAGCGAAGGTAAAAGTAACATGGAATCACCAAAAACTCAAGTTAATAAATAGATAGTTTAATGTCGAAATTAAAATCAATATGTTTCGACTCACAGAGTCTTCTTCAGTTGAAGATATAAAAAGTTAATAAGTAAAATGTAAGTAAAAAAATAAATAACAAAAATCGGATATAATAAATTAATACTGAGACATTAAAGTTAACTAACATAAAAAGAATATATCAAAACCTAAAGCAATGGATCCTGTACGAATATGTCCGTTCCCACTACTGCTGCTGTAGTGGTGCGAGAGATTAAACGCATACATACTAATGGCGCACGCAATGGTTTCCTTATGTCGAGCATCTTTCCCTTTTTTTTTTGTGTGGATTTGGGATCAATTGTCATTTGTGTCGCTGTTCTGGGAAGTTTTCTTTAGAGAAGCCTTCTCACCTCCGTGTCGTTTTCGAAACGTTTTAAATGTGCAGACGCAACGCCGATCTAATATCTCAAAGATCTTCGGTGATAATTCGGCAGATATAGAGCAACGGTAATACGACTGACATACGTATGTCTGATTTATTGGATCGGCGTTGCGTCTGCACATTTAAAAAGATGCTCGACATAAGGAAACCATTGCGTGCGCTATTAGTATGTATGCGTTTAATCTCTCGCACCACTACAGCAGCAGTAGTGGGAACGGACATATTCGTACAGGATCCATATTGCTTTTGATATATTCTTTTTATGTTAGTTAACTTTAATGTCTTACAATCAGTATTAATTTATTATATCCGATTTTTATGTTATTTATTTTTTTACTTACATTTTACTTATTGACTTTTTATATCTTCAACTGAAGAAGACTATGTGAGTCGAAACATATTGATTTTAATTTCACGACATTAAACTATTTAATTATTAACTTGAGCTTTTGATTTCATGTTGCTTTTACCTTCGCTCGACCTTGGCCAATTTATCTTATATATATTTGTGTTAAAACACGAGCTAGACATTTTTAATTAATTGATTTTATATTAAATTAAAAAATATCTATAATGTGATGATTCTTTTTTTTTTCAGATACAATGCCAAGTAAGGTGAAAAAGACAGGACCCCTCGTCGGCGTAGTTGACGTTGGCACGCGGACTGTTCGTTTTGTGGTGAGATTATCGTAAAGCAATTGCTCTCGTTATCACACACGTTATAATTTTCCACGCTTCTAAATGTTTACCTAAATCTGTCGTGAGGATTCTCAGCGCGAGCTGAGTAAATAAATACAGCCGAAAATGATAAGACGCGTTAACGACACATTGCATCTAAAATTTTACTAATTAACAAGAAATCAACGATTTATGGGAGAGGCAATAAACCTAGATTGCGCGGCTGTGAATAGTAAATAATGTCGTGACGATGTTTTACAAACAGATTTTCACGAGATCACGTTTGCAAAGCTCCAGAGTCTTTGAAAAGTCTAATTTTTTGATGATCTATTTAAAGAATTACGCAAATAGAAACAAATTCTAATCACGAATTCTAAAAGCTGTAACAAAATTTCTTTAAAAAAAAAATTTCTTCAAAATTTTCATGTGGCGTAGATTTTGTAAAATATGATAAAGAGATCTCTTTTATGAATATTCACGCACTTTAGTTTTATCGAATTATCGTTGTTTCAACAGTTATTAGCTTAAAGTGCGAATTGTGTGTCTGCAGGTATTTAATGCGAAGCACGTCGCGGAGATTGCGTCTCATCAAATCGACATAGAACAAATCAGTTCGCAGGAGGGATGGATGGAACAGGATCCCAAAGAGGTCCTCTTTGCGGTAAAGGCCTGCATTAAGGACGTAATTCGCAAATTGGACATGCTAGGCATGAGGATCGACGAAATCGTTACTGTGGGTATTACCAACCAGAGAGAAACTACGTTAGCGTGGGATGCGACTACCGGCGATCCGCTTTATAATGCCATAGGTGGGTAGAGATTCGCTTCCGCAGTCTAATCTATTTGCGGGAGAAAATTATTTTCGTTCGGGGAAAAGCCTAGTTTATCGAACGTTTATTGAACGTGTAAAGCTTCATATGTGTATCCTGATTTATTTTATAAAAGACTTTTCCAAAAGTAGTACAATTCCTCAAAATAAAATTGAAGGGAGAAAAGTAAAAACTGTAAAATTGCTTGATTAATACTTGATCTGAAATAATTTCAGTGTGGTCCGATATTAGAACTGATGCGATTGTGGACCAGATCATAGCGAAGTTTCCGGATCAGAGTAAGAATCATCTGAAGCCTTTATGCGGCTTACCCGTGAGTCCGTACTTCTCGGCTTTGAAGATTCGTTGGTTGAAGGACAACGTGAAGGCCGTAAGGAAAGCAATTCGCGAGAGGCGATGCAAAGTGGGGACCATGGATACGTGGGTTGTTTGGGTACGTGACAAAAAGACATTACAACAAAGCGTTAGTAGGAATTAGCGAGTATGACTCGACTAGGCTGTTGTTCAATTAGTATTAATTAACACCGCCAATATTTATGCTTGCTGTATCATGAGCGCGACGAAAATTATCACTAATAGTCATATTTGACAGTAATTAAATAGTGCACTGCCGTGTTTTACAAGAATTGTTATTTTAAGATATTATATATGTATATTATATACAATATTCAAGAAATTAGCACACGAATTCTTGTTATATCGATTTGTTCTTCGATGCGTCTGAAATTACTAAGGAAATAAAAATTGTACACTTTATAATGAGAGAAACTACGTGAATTAATGTGGAATTAATTTCAAAAAATCATTCCAGAATTTAACGGGAGGCAAAGACGGTGGACTATATATCACTGATGTTACAAACGCGTCGAGAACGATGTTGATGAATATCGAGACGCTCTCCTGGGATCCTACGTTATGCAGATATTTCGACATTCCTATGCAAATGCTACCGGAGATCAGAAGCAGTTCCGAGATATACGGCAAAATCTCGATCGGTCCGCTGTCCGGCATTCCCATATCCGGCGTATGTAAGACCTTGCAAATGAAAACAACATACGTAGATGTAGAATACAATTTTTTATTACGTCTACTTTCTCCATTAGATTTTAGGAAATCAACAATCTGCTTTAGTCGGACAAAATTGTTTGAAGAAAGGCCAAGCGAAAAATACATATAGGAGTGGCTGCTTTCTGTTGTGTAACACGGGACGTACCGTACGTAATTTCTAAATATTTATTTACACGCTAAGTTTTTTACAATAAGTTTGACGACTACTTATGCCGTGATTTATTTATGTACTTAGTTATTTTTTATATTCCTTTCAAATAATTTCTATACTAAAAATGACCCAAAATTACGAAACGTTTACAAAAAAATGTAATTAATATACTTTATTATTTTACACACGTTTACTTTGTGGCTTAAGTTGGCAATTTTATATTTCTTTGATTCATTTCGTTCGAGTCAAATATTTTTTCTAAGTATTTATATACAATAAGCTACATAAAGCTTAGAAAATTTTAATTTGATTCATTCTTCTTGATCTCATTCATACTAAACTTCTCATTCTCTGTGTTACCTTATATATTTCTTTCAGAGAGTATATTCTTCTCATGGATTGGTTACGACTGTCGCATATCAGTTAGGTCCGAAGAGTCCACCTGTTTACGCGTTGGAAGGTTCAATTGCGGTTGCAGGAGCAGCTATTAAATGGCTGCGGGATAACATGAAGCTCATAAAAGATGTTCATGAAAGTGAACACTTGGCTCAAAGTGTATTTAGCACGGGAGACGTCTATTTCGTTCCCGCTTTCACAGGGTTATACGCGCCTTATTGGAGAAAAGATGCAAGAGGGTTGGTAGAATTTTGTAAAAATCCCTCAGACTCTTTCTCGAGTCTTTCTTTTGTCTTATAAATATAAACGATATAGAAACTGAAATTATTTGTAGAGGTATTCGTAAAAAACGTAACTTGGTGATACATTCAAGATATTTTGCTTGATTGAAAATCTTTAATATCAAATGAGATATATTTAACAGATGTATTCGAAAATGGTCTATTTTTTTTCTTCTAGAATAATTTGTGGACTTACTGCGTTTACCACGAAGCAACACATAATCAGAGCGTCCCTCGAAGCGGTGTGCTTTCAAACCAGAGACATCCTGGAGGCGATGTACAAAGATTGTGGATTTCCGTTAACGAAATTAAACACGGACGGGAAAATGTCGACTAACAATCTTCTTATGCAACTGCAGGCCGACTTATGCGGTACACCAGTATGTAAGTAGTCATAAATTACGGGCAGATTTATAAACATGATAAAATATAGCTAATATAATAATATTTTATTTCGATTTTCTATTGTTTTTTGGAAATTAAAAACACTGTGCTTTTGTTTCGACCTACAGTTAGGTCAACTATGCCCGACATCACGGCCTTAGGCGTAGCAATGGCTGCTGGACACGCTGAAGGGATAGATGTTTGGGATTTGGAAGGCGAGGAAGTAGAAACAGTGTCAACCGACACTTTTCTTCCGACTACCACACCGGAAGGTAAACTTCCGAATTGAAGAGAAATCATATGACTTATTTTTCTATAAATATACGATATGTAATGTGGTGTAATTTTTTTTGTATCCTTTCTTTCTTTTTATAGAGAGGGACGCGAGGTATAAGAAGTGGAAAATGGCGGTGGAAAGGAGCTTAGGTTGGGCGACAGGAAAAATGTCCGACCAAATGACAGGTAAATGTAAAACCATCAAGCAAGCAAAGTCCGAGGTATCTGGTGTGATTGAGGCTGCTTTGGTTAAATATTCCTCGCTGTCTCTTTGAAATAAAAACCATTTTTTGCGTTTCTTTTTTTCTAAACGTACCATGTATATATATATATTTATGTGTAAATAAAGTAATTGTATATATAATTATTAAACGTAAACATCATAATTGCATAGTTTGCTAGAGGAAAATTTGATTACAAAATTAATATTGTAATATAATAATATTACAATATAATTCTTATTTTATTAAGATTTCATGTCTGTCACAATGCATTGTTCTGTGAATGTTTCGCTAGTATTTTTTCGTTTTCGCTTAGTATTTTATTTTTTTTATTTGTGTATTTTTTATGCTTTGGTATTTCTATAATTGTTTACTTCCGCTATATTTCTGTAAATAAAAATTGATTTTAATTTTCCCTTCTATGCGTAAGAATGTAGGTTGAGGATTAATATATGTTTTACAATATAATTATAAGACTGTATTTATATGCATTACTTTTGATTTTGTTTTAAGCAAATTCTATGTTTAAGTATCTGATGTATTTTGAATGTATGTTTAATTAAATTTTAGGAAAATTTATATGTACACGCCGTGATAATTACATATAATTATTGCGCGGTATTATATTATTATGTTACAATGAAAATTAACATTATCTTGAGATTTTGTATTAAAAAATCGAGTTATTAATGTTATAAATTTTATATAATTTTTTTGAAAGGCAGAAAAATATTTAATAATCACATGCATTGATATAATACGAAACTATTTAGAAGAGAAAGATGATATAATGCTTTATATGATTTATGTTGAGAGAAGAATGTAAAGATATTTGTGTGTATGTGTGTGCGTGTATATGTGAATTCTATGTAACAAATAGAGATACATTAATTAAGAGACTCTTTAATTAAAAAGAAGATATCAGATTTTGGGAGTACTTATAGATTAGCATCAGAATGTAAGAATAATAATCGTTTAAGTCTTTGAAAATTTATAAAATCCAACATATGAATTCTATGTAACAAATAGATATTCATTAATTAAGAGGCTCTCTAGTTAAAAAGATAGATGTCAGATTCAGGCGCAACGACGAATATTTTTTAGCACCAGAATTTTAGAATAATAATCGTTTAAGTACTTTAAGTCTTTGAAAGTTTATAAAATCCGACATATAAATTCGACGGTAATCAAACTGACAATGAGTACATATACTGAATATACAGTATATAAGTATTCAAATATGTTATAGATAAATGTATATTTTATGTAACGATATATAATTTAAATTATTGAATCATTTTCTGTTGATTAAATTTAAAAAAGCAGTAGTTTAATGTAAAATTTTACGTACCGATTTTCAGTAACACAGCATTTGGCATGAATGTATAATATTTTAAAACACGGAATTTATTTCAAAATGGTTTTCAAATGATTATATAGATAAAGCATTTATAAAATTAAGTGTAATATTAAAAAGAATAACTATGATGTCCTTGATATATAACGAATTAAGAGAAAGGCTTTTAATTTGTTTTATATTGTTCTAAGGCTTCGTCTTAAAGCAATCTAATAGAAAAGATTCAAGACATCAAAGTCGTCTGGATATTCGATACAAATAACAAAAGAAATCTGCAGGTTTTTTCAAATCTTAGATAACGTTGGTTATTGTTATCTCAAATATTTTCGACGATAAATCCATTAGATGTTTTGTTGCGACATATAAATTATTCTTCTCACGCTTCCTTCCTTTATCACATAAGTTTTATATGCAATATATATTTTTCCTTGATGTTTCAGATGAAAGGTACTGCATACTGGCGTCCATCCCTGCCAGTTGGTTTTTAATATCGAGCTTCGTTCTTCTGCGGTTAAGTTATTACATAGCGAACCGGTGACAGCAAGTCAACATTATCGATGCGCAAGTTACCCTAGACGGCGGATAGTCTTAATTGCAGCCCAGAAGAAAACTTAGAGAAGTGATAAGCTTGCTCATTCATGCATACATCGATGCGTGCGACGACGAGTATTACAAAATGGTCAAAGAGATAAAATTGCTTCTTTAGATTAAATGCGTTCCATACATTTCTATGCGCTCACATACAGCGCTACGTTCCATGGCCGAGGACAAGTAGCCAATCACTTATAGCCCTCCGAGTTTGGAAATTAATAACGCAATCAGCACAAAATATTGTACATTATTTAATTATAGATTATTTATAATCTTGTTTTATTCTTTGTGAAATAACGATTTCAGGTTTCTTGTGGAATTTATGATGGAACAACAGAATTGTTGTGGTATTTGTACCTTGAATTTATCTCGTCGCGTGCATATAATTCCATCTTTGTTATTATTATTTATTGTAAAAACCATATAAATACAATTTTCAATTACATATATCACGGAATACGGAATTGTTTTATTGTACCTTTTGTTTTATTTGTGATTTTATATTTTATGCAACACGAATTTTACTCCCTTTATTTATAGTTCGTAGTATATTTCAGAATATTTCTTTAATTGGAAATAAAATAAGCTTAAGTTGATAAATACTGAATTATTGAAATAATATGGAATAATCATTCTTCATGATGCAGATAAAACGAAAAATTAAAAATATGATCATAATGAAAATTGTTCTTAAAATTCTTTATATGATTTTTCAGAATTTCTTTATAAATTTCAGAACTTTTTAAAATTTTCTGTATAATTTTATAATTTTATAGAAAATTTCTCAATTTTTTAATGCGAACTAAAACACTTTTCAGACATATTGAGAAAATTTACATGTTTTCTGGCGCTGTAGCTAGTATAATGTTGGCATTGATGGAGTTCGCATTGGCGCCATGTTTTTTGCGTTATATAATTTTTTATTTTAATGTTTCTCATTTTACGTTTTTATTCATTTTTTTAGTTTTATTAGAATATAATAAAAATGTTTATGTCTTCAAGAATATTTTATCATGCTTTGATATTAAAAATATTTTAATATCTTTGACAGTTCGATGTATGTTTGATATTCCGTAATATTAGGCTGACATTAATTATTATTACAGTTTAAATTAAACAGTCATAAATAAACAAAGTTTGAAAGTTCGATTCTCTGTATTATTGTATGCAAAATTATGTCAGTACTTAAAAAGCGAGTCAAATGTACTGCATTTATTACATTCATCTTCAATCTTCATTACTGTGCAGTGTACCATGCCTGAGTGCGCCAATTTTTCGCATATTGGTTAATAAATTTTATACTTCCCATTTAAAAACTATTATTTAATACTATTATATATCCTCGACATTTTCGTATAAAAATTTTCATTTTAAATTGTTTCGTAGAAGGCTTACGGTCCATTTGATGCTACAAATATTTTGAAGCATCCTTCGATTGGTCAATTAATAAAATTTCTTCTGATTAGTTCAGTAATCAAATGCTTCGAAGTATTTATGACATTAAATGGACAACTTAGAATTTGTTGATGAAAGAACGATATACTTTTTCTGGGATACTGTATGTGAATTCTCAAATATTTTACGATTTCTCATTCTATAATTTCCCAAGAGAATTATAACTTATAAAATCTAAATTATATATATTTTTAGAAATTTTTATAAATTTAAAATACAAAATATTCTTAAAAATATTACGAGATATTGTGACAATTTTTTTCATTAAGAAAACATAGAATTTATTAATTGAAATAATGTACATATTATTGTTTCTCTTTGAGATTACAAATTTTATAAACTCTTTTCGCAAACATTTTACGTTTGTATATAAAATAGTCTCACACACGTTCTTTATTCTCATACATGTACGCAGTCTCGTCTTGTCCTTCCTTACAACCTACAAATCTTAAAACCTAATTCTAGTCTTACAATTAAGATCATTCACTCGCTCACCACCCACTCGTCCATTCCGTGTAATTATAACTCGTATCAAAGTCTCTTGCACTGCAATCTGCACTTCAGTATAAAACAGATATAACTTGTAGTTTACAAAATGTCTACAATTGTCATCATCGATCGAATCAATTTGCGTGACTTGACAACAAGAAATATAATTAATTTAAAAATAAAATAAAAGCACTATGGAAGGAAACTTCTTTTAACTCAAAATTTCCTGTTTTAAATATTAATATCTTTTGACTTTCTTCAAATTCAAATTTTAAAATCCTCAAAATTAAAGCTCAATTTATACAATTTAATTAATATTCATGGAACAGAATTTTATTTATAATTCTGTGTGCCTAATGGAAAATATTTGAGCAAAGGATACGCATACATTTAGTACATATAAAAAAACTAAATACTTATATAAGTTATAATACTTATTTCTAATACGCGTGTTTAGTATACATACCCAAGTAACACACGATTATCACGAGAAGATCAAGATGATGTCATCTTGACTAACAATAAGATTTCACGAAATTTTTCGTCAAAATTCAGTCAAGATGACATCTTGACCTTCTCGTGACAATCGTGTGTTACTTGGGTATGTATTTTAATTCCTTAAATATTTGTACTTCGCAAAAAATTATAAATAGAATATCGCGAATGTTGACAATAATGCAACCATATAATGAATACAAAAATTCTTTTTGAGAGCTGAAAATCCAAACAATTACATACTTAATTTTGATTGCAAGAACACTTCTCTAGCGCATGTCGCATTTCAAAGTTATAATATGACAAAATAGGTAAAAATAGCCCATTTTTGCAACTTTACCTGCAAATTTTTCAAAACTGTGACATGACAGAGAAATTCTACCACTGAATTCAGCGCCTAAAAAAAACTACGGAAAATGACTAGTCTTGTTATGATTATCGATGTTTATTTTTTGTTGAACTGTATTAAGCATTGTCTACAATGGGCAATAGCAGTAATGAATGAGTCTGTAACACGTCGGCCGAGTAAGCTGATTTTTCGGTGTAATAAGGGTGTAGAGTAAGTCCGCAAGCGAATTAATAATAAAGGTAATTATAATATTCTACTCTAAATTCTGACGAGAGCTATCAGTCGTCTGAAGCCAGCTCGACATATTTAAAGGAATCCCAAAACGAAAAAAATACGAAACGCGAACAAATTATATATAACGTAACGTACACGTGTTTCCGCGATTTTACAGTGCGCGCCCGCGACGATTCGAATCGCGCGCGAGTAACCGCGCACGCGTCGCGTCCGCGACGCTAGCGTCGCGGTGGCGGATCCGCGAAGTCGGAGATAGCGAGAGAGCAGCCCACGGGCACGGGGCACGCTCGCGCTCGATCCCGCTCCGCGCTCGCACAGTTCGTGTCAGTGTCGTCAGATTCGTTCGCCGTGAGTTGTCCGCGCGGAGCATCCGGCTTGACTGTGCGTCGGCTACAGTTGTCGCAGTGACCGAGAAAGAAAGGAAGAGAAGGATAGAGCAGGGGAGTGAAAGAGAGAGGGTGATAAATAGGATGCGGTATCGCGCGAGATTCCGGCGTTGCATCCCGTGTTCGCGGCTTCGCGAGGATATTGTCGTGGCCGCGGCCGCGTCCCGCTGAGATATGCGCGGTGTGCCGATCTGTGCTCGCTCCGCAGTGTGTGTGTGCGGGTTAACCTTAAGTATAGCGCGAGCGCTCGCCGCCGCCGTCGCCGCCGTGCGCCAGGTACGGTGTGAGGTGCGAATAAAGGGGGAAGGAGAGAACGCGTGTTGTGTGTTCGGTTGAGACCAGAGGTGCAGAGGGGGGGAAAAAAAAAGAAAGAAACGAGGAAGAGATCATACCCTCCCCTCCGCTCCGTGTATTAAAAACGCACGAGCGAGAGCACGCGTTTCACGCACGCACACGGGTGTCCCCCCGTCAAGATGTCGTCGTCCGGACACAGCAGCCGCACTCGCGCCGTCCACATCGGCTCGATCTTCCAGAAGCTGCACGGCCGCTTCGCGGACGCGATGACGCCGCCTAAGCTCTCGACCGACAAGCGTACGCTCGACAAGACCTGGAAGCTCATGGACAAGGTGGTGAAGCTCTGCCAGCATCAGCGTATGAACCTGAAGAACTCGCCGCCGTTCATCCTCGACATCCTACCGGACACGTATCAGCGGCTGCGGCTCATCTACAGCAAGTACGAGGACCGTATGCAGGTGCTGCACAACAACGAGCACTACTGCGTGTTCATCAACAACCTGATGCGTAAGTGCAAGCAGGCGATCAAGCTGTTCAAGGAGGGCAAGGAGAAGATGTTCGACGAGACGTCCCACTACCGTCGTAACCTCACCAAGCTCAGCCTCGTGTTCAGCCACATGCTGTCCGAGCTGAAGGCCATATTCCCCAACGGGGTGTTCGCCGGCGATCAGTTTCGCATCACCAAGGCGGACGCGGCGGAGTTCTGGAAGGAGCGCTTCGGGAACAGGTACACGGTCTTCTCTATCACTTTTCTCTCCTAAAATATCGCACCCGCACGGAAAAAGCGGCGTGATTTCCTCCGTTTTTTCGCGTTTCCAAGTTCTTGAGATCACGGGCATTCACGATGGTTGCTGGATGATTCTCGAGAAACGATCTCGCGGACCTCCGGTCGCGTGACATTATATATGGATGCTGCTTGCGGTTCCTATGCCGCGTTCCGTTTCACGCATGACGCGTATGATGTATCATGGTATATCTTTATTGTTCATCAAATGTTAAACAAAGATAAAAGGATAAATCATGCTCATCATACGTGAAACGGAACGCAGCCCTAGTCTCGCGAAAGATCCGAGATCGCGCCGTACTTTTAGCCAACATTTTGCAGAAATTCATCCCCCGTGATTTTTGTTTTAGAGATTTAAATTATAGAGAAGGGAAACCACTTGGGTTATTGTTATTGCTTTTCCCGAGATGTCCTGAAATCTATATAGAGAAAAGCTTAAAAACAATACCTCTTAATCCCCTGAGCAGTCCTTTGGTAAATAAATTACATAGTCGCCGAACAATTTTCATTCAAGTAATCGCCACTGTCAGGGAAATCTGACACAGCACACTGGAAGAGAATTGTTAGACGCAAAAAATGATATTTCTGGCTTTGACAAACACTGTCAATTTTTCTTTTGTAATCCGGAGGGTCCGGGATCACGTTGCATTTTTAATCAACGTTGAAGAAAAATTTCATCCCTTGCGGACGATTTTGCGATACAGGGTTTAAAAATTCAGGAATTGCTAAACTTGAAGAATGGCACTTCTGTCTTTCGCACATTGTCAATTTTGTTGTAATTTGTTTTTTTTTCTCTCCTAAGATTGAAGGGGATTCGAGATTACGGTACATTTTTTAGTGGCTTGTGAAAAATTCATTTTTTCCGCGACAAGTTGGAGCATAAAATAGGGTAAAAAATTCCAGGTAGCAAGTTGACGTCATTTGACGTCATTTTTTATCAAGATAACGTCTAATGACGACATGTAGCTTGCTACCTGGAATGTGGATCTCGTAATTTGAAGATTATTAAACCTGGAAGATAAATAACTTCTTATCTTAACTTTATAAATATTATTAAAATAACAAATAAAGTCAACTTGATATCTGAGATGGATCTTGATATTTGAAGAGATTATTAAATCTGGAAGATATAAATAACTTTAATCTTGATTTTATAAATATTGTCGTTTCGTAAAAATTTAAAGTTCGAAGAAAATCGATTACCCATAAACTTCGCAATCTCCCACGGAATGATCTTAAAATCGGAAGATTGTCCCGTTTGGGAAGATAATGTTTTTATTATTCGCAAACATTCTTAACTCTCCTGTATCGAGTTTGATCGTGAGGGTCGCGCGACGGATCCAAAGTTTTCCCACTACGTTTATTTATCTGTTGTATTTTTCGTCGAGGTACAAAGGATACCTCCGTCGACTCTCGTCACGAATCCTCCACTGAAAATTTCATTTTCGTTCCGGGCTATAAAAATCCCCGGGATATATTAGAATCCCGAGGAGAGGTAGAAGAGAGGGCAGAACTTCTGTTTCAATATTTTATAAGCGCTGCCAATTCTTGTGCAAGTCTCGGACTCTCCCGGCTGTCCGTGAAACTTTGCTCTTCGCAACTTTGCCTTTCGTCAGAGTTCAAAAAAAGGTTCATCGACTTCGCCCTATAAGAGAGATAAAGAGGATGTGTGTGAGGGGGGGGGGGAGGGAGGAGAAGAGATAACTTCGAAGAGATTTATAAAGCTCTTCCGGAATTAGCACGGCAATGCCTTTGCCTCGAGGCCGATGGTAAACTTCTCCGTAAGCTCTGAAGGATTTAAGGATATAGTTTGGTCGTGTCGTATTATGCGGGCGTCCGGGCTCCCCGATACGCGATACACGTCGCGTATGCTTCATCGTAACGAATTTATCGACTTGACGTAGACGACGACGAAACTTTCCCAGGGGTGGGAACTCGATCGCGGGGGAGACCGACGCGGCGATGTCTCGCGCCAAGTAAACAGATCCTCCGGTGAAATATTATTACGCTCGCTTAGCTCGTGGCCCCTTTCTCCCACCTCCTTCTGTGCCTCGACCTCTCCCTAGTTTCCTCCCATGCTCTCTCTCCCTTCCTCCCCCCTCTCTGACTCTCTCTCTCTCTCTCTCGTCCATTTCCGATCATTTACGATCCGCGAGATGACTGACACCTGTCCGTCCCACGTGTTCGCGAGACCTTCTTCGGACACGAACGTGCGTAAAAACAGAATAATAAAGGGCGCGCAAGCGGAGCTCGCACGTGCGCACACCTAACCTAAAAATCATGCATGTCGCCACGGGACGTGGGGGAGAGGGACGGTGGCCGCGAAGGGGAAACAGGAGAGAGGGTTGGAGGAGGCAGAAGGAGGAACAGGGAGCCCACGGTTGGCGAGCGAGCGAGACGACACCGGACGTCTATCGTTGATATTGACATTATTATCGTGCACCGAAAAGCGGGACATGTGTCGGCTCGTGTGCAACCGTGGGTTCTCTATAGAGAATGCGTTTTATCGACCGGAAGTCGGGCGGCGGGCGCAAGGTGGTGGTGTATCGGGAATTTTTGCGCGCACGGAAGAGAGAGAGAGAGAGAGAGAGAAGCGTATATGTATATATACATATATGTATATATTTAGTCCTGGGGCAAGTCCTCTGGGAATGTAATACGAATGCAATGGTATATTATATTATCGCGCACATTGTAGATGTAGAGCGTAATTGGTACGGTTCTCCTTCAATATGCTTCAGAATTTCCGAAAATGAGAGAGAGAGAGAGAGAGAGAGAGAGAGAATTTCAGAACGAATTCTGGCCTTAAAGTATAAAATTTCCAAAGGATCTTTTCTTGCGTTTTCGCTTTATTAGTATTTGTAACCTTCTTTATTTTTAATCGTCTAATTCTTGAAGAGAGAAGTGGAACGGAAATCAATTTTTATTTTCTCGCAATTTTTTACTATTTTCAATATTACCTACGTTTATAACAGGCGCGACCAGACTTAAGATTCCAGGAAGGGTCCGATTAAAAGTTCAATAACGCTCGTGGCTACTTCCATCGCGGCTCGCGAATTCTTCGTACCTTGATATTTTCGTCAGGAAACGAGAAAAACCTATAAGAACTGTATTATGTAAGAGCACGCCTCCCCCCTCTTCCGCCTCCTACGGTTCCCCCCTCCCTCCCCCCGTTCGAGTATCATCTCGCGAGCGTCGGTGTTACTTTCGTGAAGCCCGGAGGAGCGCGCCGCGCCGCGCGTTCTGACGTCAATCGCGTGTGCTTGACCCGCGACGTCGCGATTTAATGCATTCGGCGGTAATAAACGAAGAATGCTTTATCCGGTTGGCCGGACTCGCATTTACTCGTCGGCGGCGAACTGTCGTCGCGCTGACGCGCGCCCACACACCCGCACACGCACGCAGCTTGCACGCACGTATGTACACGCATACGCGTATATATTTACGTAGGAGGGGAGGGGAGGACAAAGGCAGCCGCCCTCCTGCTCCCACCCCCGCGTGTGTCGTGTCACGTTGAAACGGTAAACGCACTCTCGGCCGCGTGTGTGCGGAGAGCGCGCGGCGGCGCGCGAGCCGGGAAATAGCAGATACCGCTGCATTAGCATAAAACAACTTCCGGTGTGACGATTCCGCCCGGTTCCCGGAGCGACGCGGGAACCGGTGGCGGCGGCGAACTACGACACGTCCGGTCGTGTCCCGTGGCTCGGCGGAGGGTGGGTGGAGGGGTAGGGGGAGGGGGAGGCACCGTTAGGACTGTGACAGCGACTGTCGTCACTGGTCTCCGACATCGTTTATCATCGCTGCAACTGTTTTTGCCCGCGGATATCGGAAAGATGAATGAGGAATGTCTTTTGTATACGAATACTACGAATTCTTCGGCCGATATTCATAGTCCATTATCTTACATCTTTAAGACCGTCCTTATGTCACAGTTAGTTTTAGGTACAATCTTAAGATATTACAAACCAATCGCGGAGCCGTATTTAAGCATTTTAAAGATGACATTACTTAAGATAGAAATAAGAATGGATACGATATATGAGTACCGGCCCTCGTCTCTTCAAAATGAAGCGGAAACTCTAATCAGACCTATGGAATTTTAATGTTGAAGTGCTATCTTTATGAATATTATACGAGACTTTAACGTTTGAATCGCGTGTCTGAACCTTTCCAGATCACGCGGAACCTCGCAACGTGTAACCTGCGTTGTGACTTTTATCCAATTTTTACCGCCATTCTCTCGAGGCTGATCGATTTGATGATTATATCATATCACTCCATTGATAGAAAGGTGACACATCCCTGCAAAATTGGCGACTTCTCAGTAGAGAAGTAATATTTTTAATATTCTGAATTTTTTGTGTGTGGAACAACAATGTTTTAATTAGAATAATGAATATGCATGACTTCATTTTTTTTCCACTGTACTTTAATATAATGTATTCTTTAAGAGTTTATTATAGGTTTTTTTAAATTCGAATATTGCAATCCTAATATCATTTAAAAAGAGTATTATGAAAATAGGAATGTTTTTACACATTTTTAATTTAATTTTTTCATCATTGGCTTACCATTTTACGTAAGCCTGCTATTAAAAGCCATTTTACCCGCATAATGCGAACCCGCATAACATGATAAAATTAACATATCCTTAAAAAAAATTAAATTTCAAAAAATTTTAATTTATTTAATAGTTGGTAATTTTTACAGATAAACAAGACTTTAATAGATCTGAAAAAATAGATCATGATTGTCATTGCAGAAAAAAAATACAACGAAAAATGTAAAATCTTGAGGTCATCTTACTTCCTTTCTCCTATAATGTAAATTTTATTTTTTAGAGTTACATGACACTTTTTCATATGGGAGAGCTACAAAGAAGTCGTTTCCACAGATACATATATTAAACTGCCATGTATACGAAAAAGATGATGTATCAACAG